GCTGCAAGCCCCTCGGAGAGAAAGCTGCCCTCGGGTTCCGACCGATGCCAGACAGTCCCGCTTCTCCCGTATGAGTCTGGGTCCCTAGAGACTCGCCCGGAACTGGAGCTCAGAGCCTGAGACTCCCTCCCGATTGAAAACGACAACCGAGCCCTCAGCCGCCAGCCCGCTCCACATGCACCTCTGCACCTCAGTATTTTACTTCCGCACTGTGCCCCCTCTGAGTCTCGGTATGCTTTTCTCTTTCCTTCTAGTTGTAGAATTTCCACTCAGCCAGCCTTCCTGTGGTTCTGGATGATGTCCGTTCCGTCTTTTAGTTGTATTTTTGAAGTGGTTGTTCGAGGCAGCAAACTCCAGCGTTTACCTATGCTGCCATCTTGGTTTCTCCCATAAAAATGTTTTAAACAAGTGTGGAAGAAGCACAAATTTGATATATTAAACAGAAAACATCTGAGTATGGATTGATTTGAATCTATTTTAATTTCTTTTTTTTATTGTTTAAAATATTACATGTGTCTCCTTTTCCCCCCATTGACCCCTCCCCGGCCACTCCCAACCCCCAGGACAAGCCCCAATTGCCCCAGTGTCCACATTCATTGGTTATGCTAATATGCATGCAAACAAGTCCTTCGGTTGATTTCTTACAGCCTCCCCCCCCGCCTTTGCCCTCCCCTGCTTCCCTCTGAGGTTTGATGGTTCGTTTGGTGCTTCTCTGTCTCTGGATCTATTTTTGTTCATTAGTTTATGTTGTTCATTATATTCCACAAATGAGTGAGATCATGTGATATTTATCTTTCTCTGACTGGCTTATTTCGCTTAGCATAATGCTCTTCAGGTCCATCCTATTTTTATTTTTAACATGGTCTCATAGGGATCTCTCTTTTAAAATAATTTTTATTGATTTTAGAGAGAGAGGAAGCAGGGCGGGGGTGGGAGGAAGAGGTCAATTTGTTGTTCCATTTATTTATGCATTCATTGGTTGATTCTTGTATGTGCCCTCACCAGAGATCTAACCAGCAACCTTGGCATATTTGGACGACGACAACTAAGCTACCCAGTTAGGGCTGGGATCTCTTTTTAATTTTGGTGTTGGAGGACAGTATTCACACATGCCTTGTAAGCTTTAGTATCTCAGTGTGGTAGACAGACTCTAAGTTGGCCCCTCATGTCCCCCACCCCTGGTATCCTCACCAATGTATAACCCCCTTCTTTTGAGTGTCTGTGGGGAATGTGACTTGCGTCTAGCCAATAGAATATAACAAAGGTGATAGGATGTCACACCTGTGATTACATTTTGATATTTAAGACTCTCTCTAGAGACTCACTTTGCTGGCTTGAGCCTCCATGTTGAAACAGTCCATTTGGCAAAGACTTCAGGCAGCCACTAGGACCTGAGGTTGACCTTCAGCTGACATCCAGCAAGAAGCAGATGCTCTCAGTCCCATAAACATGAGGAAATGAATTATCTCACTGGAAGCATAAAGCTAGTTTAAACATTGTCAATCATTTATACGTCAGGGGCCAAGAAGGATTTAAGAAGAGGTTTGCTACCAAGGTATCTGAGCTTGAAGGGGGTGACTACTCCTAGGTAAGGATGGACGTGTAACAGGAAAGCTTGGCTAGATACAGACTTCCTTAGCTTTAGTGTTTGCTTAGGTCTTGGCCATATGAATGTCTCTCTGTACTTCTTGCTTATATACTTAATATCTTGAGAATGACCTGATGGGGAGGTGTGTGTTTACAGGGCCCAAGGATGGCATAAGAAGGATGAAACTCAGTCACAGACTCCCTGAGAAGCCCTCTACATTTATGTTAACCATGGCAACATGTAGGCAAAACCAGAAAAACCAAATCAGGGGCGGTTGGTAGCATAATGGTAACTGAGCCTGGGAGAAATTTGCATCCTGGGAGGAAAGGTGAGCCAAGTTCACCTTTCCTCCATAGCCATAGCCAAGCATCTTCCTTTTAAGTGAGCTCTGGCTCAAATGCAGAGCCTGAGCATTCTTTTCACATCCCCTGAGGAAAAATCAAAAGAAGGACTGTGAGTAGGGGTAATAAGGAGGCCAAGGACCAAGGCGCAGGGGTGGTGACCAGAGAAGGGGCCAAAATGCAGCCAGCATTCACAGCCCTCTTCATGCTGCTCTTTGTCCTGCTGTGTCTCCTGGGAATCCTGGCCAATGGCTTCATTGTGCTGGTGCTGAGCAGAGAATGGAGGCGGCTTGGGAGGCTGCTCCCTTCTGACATGATCCTCATTAGCTTGGGTGCCTCCCGTTTCTGCCTACAGTGGGTTGGAATGGTGCACAACTTTTACTCCTTCTTCCACCTGGAGGAGTTCAGCAAGGGTCCTGCAGGGCAGCTCATTAGATTCCAATGGGACTTCCTGAATTCAGCCACCTTCTGGTTTGGTACCTGGCTCAGTGTCCTCTTCTGCGTGAAGATTGCTAACCTCACCCACCCTACCTTCCTCTGGCTGAAGTGGAGGTTCCCAGGGTCAGTGCCCTGGCTTCTGCTGGGCTCTCTCCTGATCTCCACCGTCGTTGCCCTGCTCTTCTTCTGGGGAAACTACTCTGTGAATCAAGGTTTCTTCATTAGAGAAGTTTATGAGAATATGACCTACATGGAGAGGGTCATTAGCATGGAAATTCACTATTTCCTACCCCTCAAATTTGTCACGTTTTCAATTCCTTGCTCTGTTTTTCTGGTCTCGACTGCATTGTTGATTCATTCTTTGAGGAGACACACTCGGACAATGCGGCAAAGTGCCCATAGCCTGCAAGACGCCAGCACCGAGGCTCACACCAGAGCTCTGAAGTCACTCATCTTCTTCCTCATTCTTTACATTCTGTCTTTCATGTCCCTGATCATTGATGCTGTAGGCTTCTTTTCAACAGAGAATGACTGGTTCTGGCCATGGCAAATTGTAACCTACCTGTGCACATCTGTCCATCCCTTTATCCTTATCCTCAGCAGCCCCAGGCTTCGAGAGGTGTTCAGGCAGCTACTTCTGTTGGCCAGGGGCTTCTGGCTGGTGTAGGTGCCATGGTCTCCTTATTCTGATCCCCAGAAGAGACTCAAGTGAGGATGACAGAACCACGGCCCATCTACATGGAAATATCTTCATAGGTAGATGTCTACTGGATCATGCTGTGGGCTCCTCCTTTGAAAGGAGAGAAGGAGAACAAAATCTGGGAACACTCTGAGCATGATACCTCTATTGGGACACTATTAAAATAGGGCCCCATGGATCCCAGAGAGCCAATATTGTCCAGAAGGTCAGAATACAAAATTTTGTGCTATTCTCTATGTTTGTATACTCTGTGTTGAGAGGAAGCCTTAAAACAAAATAATGCTCTTCAGTTAAATGTCTTGATTAAGTATACTATCTTATCTTGAAAGCCTAATGGGAAATTAAGAAAAAATATTGTCCACAACTGAATTGGGGTGTAGATGGGGAAGCAGCACCCTTCGCGAGGATAATGTCAAGGTTACTACTAAGGGACAGTTGTGGTAGACAGTGGCTGGGCTGTGAGGTCTAAATGCTCTTCCTTTTGTGGAGATTCTTTGCCTCACACCAAAGCTTGGGTAATTTGGTTTTAATTTTGTTAAAGCTGCTGAAAGGATTCTTTACACTACCCCCATCTCTTTTTTAATTGATATTTCCATTGTTCTATCTCTTATTTTCTCCTCTCTGAAGTCTAAGCGGCAGCCAGACTTTGTCCAGGTTTATTCTCCCTCCTCAAGCAAATGTCACCAAGTCACATGTGAATAGAATAAACATGTACTTTTGTTCTGAAAAACAAACATTCAAGAATTTCACTTAGTTTGTGTCAAAAAACTATTGAACCTCTTTTTTTTTTTTATTGCTAAAAGTATTACAAAGGGTATTGCATATGTGTCCTTTTTTTCCCCCCTGCCCTTGACAATCCCCTGGCCTCCCCTGGCCTCCCCTACCTGAACCTCTTTTTTTAAAAAAAAGTAAAATAATGGTCTTATTAAATCTTTGTTTAAATGTTTTAAAATAGTTTGCTTCAATTACTATGCAGTTAGTTGTTTTTATTTTTTATTTATTTTTATTTTTTTGATTGTTGTCTTAAAAAAAATTTTGTTTTATTGCTTAAAGTATTACAAAGAGTATTACATATGTCTCCTTTTTTTCCCCCTTTACCTTCCCCCGGCCTCCCCTACCTCCCAGTGTCTTGTGTCCATTGGTTATGCTTATATGCATGCACACAAGTCCTTTGGTTGATCTCTTACCGCCCCCCCCTCCCCAACCCTCCCTGGCCTTCCCGCTGTAGTTTGACAGTCTGTTCGATGCTGCTCTGCCTCTGTATCTATTTTTGTTCATCAGTTTATAATGGTCTTTATTATCCATAAATGAGTGAGATCATGTGGTATTTTTCTTTCATTGACTGGCTTATTTCACTTAGCATAATGCTCTCCAGTTCCATCCATGCTGTTGCAAATGGTAAGAGTTCCTTCTTTTTTACAGCAGCATAGTATTCCATCGTGTAGATGTACCACAGTTTTCTAATCCATTCATCTACTGATGGGCACTTAGGCTGTTTCCAAATCTTAGCTATGGTGAATTGTGCTGCTATGAACATAGGGGTGCATAGATCCTTTCTGATTGGTGTTTCTGGTTTCTTGGGATATATTCCTAGAAGTGGGATCACAGGGTCAAATGGGAGTTCCATGTTTTGTTTTTTGAGGAAACTCCATACTGTCTTCCATAGTGGCTGCACCAGTCTGCATTCCCACCAGCAGTGCACAAGTGTTCCTTTTTCTCCACATCCTCTCCAGCACTTGTCGTTTGTTGATTTGTTGATGATAGCCAGTCTGACAGGTGTGAGATGGTACCTCATTGTTGTTTTGATTTGCATCTCTCGGATGATTAGTGACTTTGAGCATGTTTTCATATGTCTCTTGGCTTTCTGAATGTCCTCTTTTAAAAGGTGTCTATTTAGATCCTTTGCCCATTTTTTGATTGGATTGTTTATCTTCCTTTTGTTAAGTTGTATGAGTTCCCTATAAATTTTGGAGATTAGGCCCTTATCAGATATAATGTTGGCAAATATGTTCTCCCATGTAGTGGGCTTTCTTGTTGTTTTGTTGATGGTTTCTTTTGCTGTGCAGAAACTTTTTATTTTGATGTAGTCCCATTTGTTTATTTTCTCTTTAGTTTCCAATGCCCTAGGATCTGTATCGGTGAAGAAATTGCTTCGGCATAGGTCTGAGATTTTGTTGCCTTTGGATTCTTCTAGTATTTTTATGGTTTCCGGTCGTATATTTAAGTCCTTTATCCATTTTGAGTTTATTTTTGTGTATGGTGTAAGTTGGTGGTCTAGTTTCATTTTCTTGCATGTATCTGTCCAATTTTCCCAGCACCATTTATTGAAGAGACTGTCTTGACTCCATTGTATGTTCTTGCCTCCTTTGTCAAATATTAATTGAGCGTATTGGTTGGGGCTGATTTCTGGGCTCTCTATTCTATTCCATTGATCTATATGTCTGTTCTTGTGCCAGTACCAGGCAGTTTTGAGAACAGTGGCTTTGTAATACAGCTTGATATCTGGTATTGAGATCCCACCTACTTTCTTCTTTCTCAGGATCGCTGCAGCTATTCGGGGTCGTTTTTTGTTCCAGATGAATTTTTGGAGAGTTCGTTCTAGGTCTGTGAAATATGCCGTTGGTATTTTAATGGGAAGTGCGTTGAATTTATAGATTGCTTTGGGCAGTATGGACATTTTAATGATGTTGATTCTACCAATCCAAGAACATGGTATGTTCTTCCATCTCTTTATGTCTTCCTCTATCTCTTTTTTCAACGTCCTGTAGTTTTCTGAGTAGAGGTCTTTTACCTCTTTAGTTAAGTTTATTCCTAGGTAGCTTAATTTTTTTGGTGAGATGGTAAATGGGATTGCTTTTTTAGTCTCTCTTTCTGCAAGTTCACTATTGGTGTATAGAAATGCCATAGATTTCTTGGCGTTAATTCTGTATCCTGCTACATTGCCGAATTCTTTTATTAAGTCTAATAGTTTTTTGATGGAGTCTTTAGGGTTTTTTAAGTATAATATCATGTCATCTGCAAATAAGGACAGTTTTACTTCCTCTTTTCCAATTTGGATGCCTTTTATTTCTTCTTCTTGTCTAATTGCAATGGCTAATACTTCCAGTACTATGTCGAACAGGAGTGGTGAGAGTGGGCATCCCTGTCTTGTTCCTGTTTTTAGGGGAAATGGTGTTAGTTTTTGTCCATTGAGTATGATGTTGGCTGTGGGTTTGTCATATATGGCTTTTATTATGTTGAGGTATGATCCTTCTATTCCCACCTTGCTGAGAGTTTTTATCAAAAATGGGTGTTGAATTTTGTCAAATGCTTTTTCTGCATCAATTGATATGACTATGTGGTTTTTTTCCTTCAATTTGTTTATGTGATGTATCACGTTGATTGATTTGCGGATATTGTACCATCCTTGCATCCCTGGGATAAATCCTACTTGGTCATGGTGTATGATCTTTCTGATGTACTGCTGGATCCGATTTGCTAAGATTTTGTTGAGGATTTTGGCATCTATGTTCATGAGGGATATTGGCCTGTAATTCTCTTTCATTGTGTTGTCTTTACCTGGTTTTGGTATTAGGGTGATGCTGGCTTCATAGAATGAGCTTGGAAGTGTTCCTTCCTCTTGGATTTTTTGTAGTAGTCTGAGGAGGATAGGTTTTAGTTCTTCCTTGAATGTTTGGTAAAACTCCCCTGTGAAGCCGTCTGGTCCTGGGCTTTTGTTTGCTGGAAGCTTTCTGATGACTGCTTCAATTTCTTCCATAGTTATTGGCCTGTTGAGATTTTTAGATTCTTCCTGATTAAGTTTTGGAATGTTGTATTTTTCTAGAAATATGTCCATTTCCTCCAGGTTGTCTAGTTTGTTGGAGTAGAGTTGTTCATAGTATTTTTTAACAATCATTTGTATTTCTGTGGGGTCTGTTGTTATTTCGCCTCTATCATTTCTGATTTGGTTTATTTGGGTCCTCTCTCTTTGCTTTTTGGTGAGCCTGGCTAGAGGTTTGTCGATCTTGTTTATCCTTTCAAAGAACCAGCTCTTGGTTTCATTGATTTTCTGTATTGTTTTTTTGGTCTCTATGTCATTTATTTCTGCTCTAATCTTTATTATCTCCTTCCTTCTGCTCACTCTGGGCTTTTCTTGTTGCTCTCTTTCTAATTCTTTGAGCTGTAGATTTAGATGATTTACTACCATTTTTTCTTGTTTGTTGAGGTAGGCCTGTAGAGCTATAAACTTCCCTCTCAGGACTGCTTTCATTGTGTCCCAAAGGTTTTGGATTGTTGTGTTTTCATTGTCATTAGTTTCCAGGATGTTTTTAATTTCTTCTTTGATCTCATTGGTAACCCAATCAATATTTAATAACATGCTATTCAGCTTCCAAGTGTTTGAGTATTTTGGGTTGTTTTTATTGTAGTTTATTTCTAATATTATGCCCTTGTGGTCTGAGAAGATGCTTGGTATGATTTCAATCTTCTTGAATTTGGGGAGACTTTGTTTGTGACCCAATATGTGGTCTATTTTTGAAGATGTCCCATGAGCACTTGAGAAGAACGTATATTTTGTTGCTTTGGGGTGAAGTGTTCTGAAGATGTCAATTAAGTCCATCTGATCTAGTGAGTCATTTAGGATTGCTGTTTCTTTGCTGATTTTTTGTCTAGCAGATTTATCCAGTGATGTCAGTGGTGTATTAAAGTCCCCTACTATGATTGTATTGTTGTCGATCTCTCCCCTGATGTCTTCCAGGAGTTTTCTTATGTATGTGGGTGCTCCTGCATTGGGTGCATATATGTTTATCAGGGTTATATCCTCTTGTTGTATTGATCCCTTTAGTATTATGAAGTGGCCTTCCTTATCTCTTGTTATGGCCTTCACTTTGAGGTCTATTTTGTCGGATATAAGTATTGCTACCCCAGCTTTTTTTTCATTTCCATTTGCCTGAAAGATATTTTTCCATCCCTTCACTTTCAGTCTGTGT